CTGGGGGCACACTTCCAGGCAAAGAATGGCTTGCAGCCTCCCTTGTGTTTATTTTCTAAAAACTGCATGAGGCCAAGAACCATTCTTAGAATTAAAACCCATGCTCAAGTCTTGCATTTGGCTTTCTAGCACCCCAGTTTCTTTCTTTACATATAGTCTGAAGAGGAGAGAAGCCAACAGGTACCAAGGAGGTACACTGAAGCCTCTCTAGAGACTCTGAAATAAAACTCATCTGCGCTCTTTAAAATTTCAGCACCAACTGTTTCCTTTGGGGTTAGAGTAGATTTGAAGGAATCCATGTCTCTATCCACCAAAAAGATTGCTCCCTGGCTTCATCTTGTGTCCCTGTAAGTTTTTATTCTACAGCATGAATTCATTGTGCGGTTCATTTTTCCCACTGCCAGCCAGGGCTACGGAGGTGGAACAAAGGTGGGGAAATATATGGTCAAATGAGTCCTGGTAAAATAGCTGAGCCACAATTAATAAAAGAACTGGGAAAACTTGATACAGATTGACTTGGAAATCTCATTCTACGTTTTACTACTCCAGGAAATAGTTTTTATTCTCTGCAGTCAAGTTCGACATCACACTGCTGACAAATATTAGCATTCTTTTCACACAAGGAAGCTTCATTTGCCCAAATACATTTTTGACAACCTTTTAGAAACTTCATACAATATCTTACAGTGCATACATTGATTCAGAGAAATGAACATCATTTTGTGATTAATTTTATCACTTGGCAAAGACTGACTTCCTCCCCAAAGTGGCTTTGTTTGAATTACTGCATAGCACCATTGTACGGATGAAGAAATATAAAAGGAGCCAGTGCTACTGTTGATAACCTTTTTAAGAGTGCACAGTTTAAAAGGCACAACTGTAAACTCTTATTAGTTTCAAAAGCAGCACAAGTTCCCTTTTTGGACAGTTTCTCCACACCTGCCTGCGAGGACCAGTCTTTGTGGGACTCCCTTGCCTTAGAGAGGATGATATTTCAGGGAAGATTCTCTCCTTACTGTCTTCTTAAAGCAGCTGAGAAACACAGTCAAGATGAATGTTTAAAGTTCATATGTTGTCACAGAAACACAGGAAGAATCACCTGTTTAAAAAAATAATGCAAATGTGCATACTTTGCTTATTTATCAGGGACCATGCATATATTGCTCAAAATATATTGTCTTCACAACAAATCTAAGATAAAAGCAGCTTGAAAGTAAAGAACATATGCCTCTCTTTACCAATGAGCAGAATTACACTAGGTTTAGTCCATATATCCAGGAGAATGAATTCTATCTTTTTAAAAAATGATGCTGTCCCATATAAACAAAACAAACTCAAAGGGAGGAGGAAAACACCAATAAAATCCAGTCAATTTGTTCCTAAGCTAGTTTTCTAGTTGGAAGAAAGTCTTTTTAGTACAAGATGCAGTCTGTCAAAACTAACCTGTGGTGGGAGAATCTATCCTCTGCTACTTTGGTTTTTATTTCATTGGGCTGAAGATGCAGCCATTTATACATGGGCAAAGTTTGGGATGGTCCAACTGACGCCAGCCAAGGTGATGGCCTGGGGATTGTATAATCAGCAGGTGTGGATACAGATACAATGGGGCCAAAAAGTATTTAGTCAGCCACCAGTTGTGCAAGTTCTCCCACTTAAAAAGATGAAAGAGGCCTGTAAT